TCTCCGCCAGGCTGTACGGAGAGTGGCAGCCACCAGAGCAAGCAGCGCTGATGGCGCACTGGCTAATGACGGGGACGGGATCGTGTGGGGACGGCGCGGCAACTTCGCGGTTGGGATAAGCGGTTGAAACGCGCCCCACAAAATTGCCTTGGCACCCACGCCGGAGCAGGAAGTCCGGTTCGGCCAGCACGCCGGCTACGCGCGGTTCGCCTACAACTGGGCACTGGGTGAGTTCAAGGCAGGTCTGGACGTGGGTGAGTGGCTGTCCGACCGGACGTTGCGGCCCGCGGATCCCGCGCTGGAATGTGATCAAGAAGTTCATCGCGCCTTGGGGTGCGGCAGCTGTCGCAGAACGCTGCGAAGTACGCGATCATCGACCTTGGCCAGGCGGCGGACCTCTTGGGGCGAGTATCGAAAGCGTGTTAAGTCCGGCCGGCGTGCCGGTCGCCGCGTGGGATTCCCCAAGTTCAAGCGGCGGCAGCACGAGCAGGGGTTTCGTGCGGACAACGGCTCCGACACGGTTCGTGTGACGCAAGACGTGATATGTGCCGAAGATCGCATGGTGGCAATGGTGGAGGACCTGCGGTTCCGCGGGTCCATCCGTTGAGGTGACCATCAACCGAACGGCTGGGACCTGGTTCGCCTGCTTCTGCGTTGAAGACGGTGCGGAACTGCCGCCGGTGAAGGATGGGACCGACCATCGGCGTGGACGTGGGCGTCGGCACGATGGCCGTGATGCTCGGACGGCACGACGGTTGAGAATCCGAAGGCGTGGCCAGCGGTTGAAGCGGTTGCGGTCGGCTGGACAGGCCATCGCCCCGTAGCCGCAACATTCATGGAAAGAGTACCCATTCGAACCGGCGGGAGCGGCTGTATTGCAAGCGCTCAACCTTCACGCCCGGGTCGTGAATGTTCGGAGTGACCGTCATCACAAGGCAACGACGGCGATAGCCAAGTCGGGTGGCCCGCGTGGTGGTGGAGACGCTGAACGTGTCGGGAATGATGCGGAACGTAGGCTCGCTCGAGCCATTGCCGACGCTGGAATGTCTGGCTTCCTGTCGAAGCTGGAGTACAAGTGCGCCTGGTACGGAGCCGAGTACGTGAAGGCGGACCGGTGGTATGCGTCGTCGAAACTGTGCGCACATTGCGGCTGGAAAAACGAGGACCTGACGCTGTCTGACCGGGAGTGGCGGTGTGGTGGCTGTGGAGCGTTGAACGAACGCGATTACAACGCCGCTGTAAATTTGAGTAGCTGGCCGGTTGAGCTTCCCGGTGTCAGGACGTGGAGACCGTGTAAGTCCGGCTACGCCGGCGGTGGTTCGGTGAAGCGTCAACGGATTCCTCCTCTGATCTTACTGAGCCTGACCTCAGATCAGACCAGGTGGATTAGAGTAGATCCTGAATAGCGGAACGTGAACGCCGGGATTGCCATACAGGTGCTCCGGTGCTGGGAAGATATTTTCAGTGTAAGGTCTGGCCAGCCGATGGGTCAAAGGTGCCCCGGCGGCGCCCGTACCACCTGCTGCCCCTTCCGGCGTCGTCTTGCGGTCTCAGAGCAAGGGTGATGAGCACTGCCTCAATCAAATGTTACTGAACTTCGGTCGCACAAAGTCTCCTGGCGGATCCAGCCGCGAAATGGGAGAACTGGCCACCGTCGTCGGAAGGACCCGCTGCAACGCATCGACGAACCCGATTTGCGCGTTCCTCATGCCGGCCATCCGTCTTATTGATACCCCACTTGCTTCGCCCAGAGGTCATTACGTAAATCAATTTGTGCCGCGCATCCCAACGCCGGCCCGATTGCGTTTCCGCCGTCCTGATTTCCACGAGCCGGATTGCAGAAATCGCTGACAAGTTACCTGTCATTCGTCTCGTCGCCAGGCTTCGCAACTGCACGGTCGACGCGACAGACATCGCAATTTGATCGCCGCCACCAGGATGCTGTCCATACGGGCCGCTATTGATACCGTTGCAAAAATGGTTGACTTTAGTTACAAACCATCGTCAGCCTTTCCTAGAAACGCGGTCTACGCCGCACCGCCGCCCCAACAGTTCAAGACGGCTCCACCCAGGACTCTCACCCAGGAACACCGAACTGGTCCCCGCTCAAGCCATCGCGCGTGTCTTACCACCCGCCACTGCCTGAACCGGATTGGGTCCGCGTCTCCGCTTCCCCAGCCGGTGCTGCGCTGCAAGCGCCGGTCTCAGTTGCCCCGAAATCGCTCCCCAGTACGTCCACACGTGCTTCACTCGCTTCCTCACGGGTACGGTGAAGGCGATATGCACGCCATTGCCGACGGGACATACCCGTCGACGCGGGATGCGCTCGGAACAACCAAGCAAGCGTCGGGCCAGCACCATGGCCGCAGCCTGGTGCACCGTCAGCCCGTACCGCTCCATGAACTTCACCCGGCCCACGACGGAACTGTACGCCGGGTTGACCGCTTTGATTTCAACTCCTTCCCGGTAACCCCGGGAGATGAAGTACGCCTTGACCTTGCCGTAGCTGAAGCTGGACAGCATCCGGCGGTACCGCCGGGACTCTCCTTCCAGCACCGCTTTCTTCTGCCGAAAGTCCAGATTTTCGATGACGATGGGCTTGCCGACTTCTCGGGCGTACTCCACCACACCCGCCACCGCGTCTCCTATCAACGCCTCCGCCTGATGGTGGCTCTTGCCGTAGGTCACCAGCGGCACCCGCCACGCTTTCACGTAGTTGCCACTCGCATCAGTCTCGACTACGGCCAGATGATCCGCATTCAGGTCCACCCCGACCGCTCCACGCCGCCGGTCTGTCGTGACCTCCACCTCCGGCAATTCCGTGGTGGCGAATACCCGCCAACCTTTCGAATCACGCTTGAAACGGTAGCTGATAGCCTGGCCGAGCGCGGTAACTCGCGCCTCCTTCTCACCATGCTCCCGTCGGTACACCGCGTACTCCGTGTTGCTCCCCAGCGCCGCCAGCACCACATCGTGTCCAGAAGCAAACCTCACGTTTGGAACCACCAGGTATTTGCCGTGCCGTCCCGCCAGGCCATCCGGCATCCGCAACCGCAGCGTCAGCGTACCGTCGTCATTGACGGACGCCACGCACAGCTGGCATCCCGCCGTCTCATCCCGGCTGCCCAGCACGAAGAACTCGTCGCTGCGGGCGTCTTGCCAGTCCCTGAGCCATTCCTCATGACAGGCATAGCCATTGGCCTTCAGGTCATACTGCTTCCGCCACAACTTCTGGGAGCCGAAGCACAACCGCACCCGGCCGGCCGCAATGTCGGCTTCCAGCCCCGACCGCCGGAACCTCAGGTTGGCCAACCGCCGCCGCTTCCCGTGCACCTGCCGCCATTGGCACTCCTGTTCAGCCTTATCAACCTGCTTTTCCGCGCGGCTCACCCGACGCCTCCGGCTATCCAGTTGCAAAAGCTGCGACCCCCGCACCGCCGAAACCTTGCCGTCCAGCGTAATCCGCGCCGCGTTGAACATCCGCGCCGGTATCCCGTGCTCCTCGATATACTCGCGCTTCTTCGACACCGCCGACCGGCCCGCCGCCACATCGGCGAACAGTTTATGCTGCACCTTGGCATACAACGCCGCATACGCCGACAGCGCGGCATCGCCAACAGCACGGTCAATGCCTTCATAACCCGCGATGCGGGTCTGGTACGACCTCGTCTGCGGGATATAGCCTTCAGACGAATAGGCAGACTGACGGCGGCGTTTCTTGTTACGAGCCATACTGCAATGGTAACAGAACACCGGTTCGCCTCACCACAAACCAACGTCACCAAGCAAAACAAACCCGGACGTACCAAACGCTACGATTGCATACCATTGCCTACCGAATCGGCAACTGCTTCCAACCCCTCGCCTCAGGAAAAGGGGCCAGATTTGGTCACCATATCCGGCCTGCGCGAGGGGAACAGCGCCTTCCGGCGCGGGGGTAAGGGAGGTGATACGGCGCCGTTTGCCACCCGGCGTCGTCACTGGCAATTACGCTGGCCCGACGGGAACGGATCGCCGCGCCAGGTGGCCGCCTGCGTCCATGAATCAACGGTGGCCGGCCGGAAACCTGCTCCATTCGAGTTCAGGGAAAGTGAGCAGTTGCGCGATTCACGCTTCTCCATGCTGCGACAGGTCTACGCCCCTCTCCTCGTCCGGCTCACTGAGCCGGAGACCCATGGTGTACTTCAACACCAGCAGGATTAGGCTGGTCATGACGAATGACCAGGCAAACGCGGCCAGAATGCCAACCACCTGGTAAAAAATCTGTTCCAGCCGCGATACATCGGCTTCCAGCGCACCGAAGCCTATGCCCACGAAGATGCCCGTGGCAACGGCACCCCACATCCCGCCAACGCCGTGGATGCCGAACACGTCTAGGGAGTCGTCAACGCGCAGCTTGTGAACCAGTTCAACGGCCGCGAAACAGAGTGCGCCGGACACGCCCCCGATGATCAGGGCCGGCATTACGCCGACGAATCCCGCCGCCGGAGTGATGGCCACCAGGCCAGCCACCGCGCCGGCCGCCGCACCGCTGCCCGGACTGTCGCTTGGTGAGCATCCACGAGACGACCGACCAGGATCCCCATCCCGGCGGCAGCCGATGTGTTGGTGACGACAAAGGCATTGACGGCGGCCTCGGTGGAAAGGTTGAAGCTGCTGCCCGCGTTGAATCCGAACCACCCGAACCACAGCAGGCCCGCCCCCAGCATGACCAACGGCACGTTGTGGGGCGTCACGGTTACCGATCCGAAACCGCTGCGCCGCCCCACTATGAGTGCGGCCGCCAACGCCGCTGAGCCCGATGCGATATGTACAACGGTTCCTCCGGCGAAGTCCAGGGACAATCCCGCTTCACTCATCCCCAATACGCTGCCCAGGTTGCCCAACCAGCCGCCCACCCCAGACCCAGTGGGCCAGCGGGGCGTAAACGACGGTTACCCACACGCCGGCAAAGACGATGTAGGTGGGAAACTTGAAACGCTCGGCGAATCCCCCCGAAATGAGGGCAACGGTGATGATGGCGAACATCCCCTGGAAAACCATGAATGACTGCTCGTCGAGGGGCACCCCAACCATCCCGAACTTGGAAAGGTCTCCTACGAATCCCAGCCCGCCCACGCTGTTGCCGAACGCCAGGCTGTAACCCCACAGCACCCACAGGACGCTCACCACACTGATCGCGGTGATGGAGTGCATCATCGTCCCAATGACATTTTTGTGGCGCACCAGCCCGCCGTAGAAGAGGGCCAAACCGGGCACCATGATGAACACCTGACCGGCAGAAATCAGAAGGGACAGGACTTCCAGATCGGAGAATTGCATCTCTCATCTCCCCATGGCCGATCCTCAAATAACCTCAGAATCCGCCGTCCATCAGGATCAATGCGGCCATGCCGACGCGGAGACATGGTAGTCCGCGTTTCCGGTGCAATGCAACAACTGCCCTAAATGTAGAATTGTTCAAGTAGGCGACGTCAGTACGAAATCCGTAATCTGTGATGCCCCGGATTCGGGGCGATGTGGGCGGTCGCCTTGGCTGGTGAATCGTTGTTCTGCATACCTGAACCGTTCGGTTCGGCTTGATCATGATTTCTCCCTCATGATCCGGCAGCCTGTGGTTCCCAGCACCAGCGGCAGCATCGTGTCAACGGCTGCCCAGATTACCCACGCCTGATGGTTGCCCGCCAGACTTTCGGCTCCCTGGGCAAGCAATGAAAACCAGTTGTGGAGAAATAGAATCGTGACTCCGGCCGTCAGATAAAACGCGATGTTGATTTCCAGGTTGCGCCGGCTCACGGAGTCGTCCGGTTCCTGCCCCTCTGCCAGGGTCCGCTTGCCGGCGTAGTTGAACGCCAGGGCCGTGAGCAGGCCGATGAGCATCAGAATGTCCAGCACTGCCCAGACCTTCGCGGGGTCCAACAGGCCGGCGAGCAAGGGGTTTGCGATGAAGAAGGCCGCCACGATGACGGCGACCCCGATTAGGTATGCCCCGGCGGGTTTCTTCAGTTTGGTCACGAATGTTTCTCCTTCAGGATTCATCGTCCGGCGTGAATTTCGCCTGGCATTTGTTAAGCCCCAATCCACCGAAGAGATGAGTGTTGCGGCGTGGTGAAGGGGTAAGAAAGTGCTCCTGTGCAACTGGGATAATGGTTGTGGAAAGACAAAACCAACCAGGAACAAGGAGCACCTAAACTAAAGCCAAGGTGGGATGTACATTTAAGTGGCGATGATGATCAGCTGGGTTAAGCCCGTGAATCCCTCTCATCCGTACTTGGAGAACGACCCGGCTCCGTCGTTTGACTCCCACCATCTACGCATTTCACCTTGGCTTTAGTTTAGTAGATGCTACCACGCGACCATCCCGACCGCATCGACGTCGCCTTCGATGACCACCGCTTGGTGGCAAATGCTGGGCTACTCCTGCCACCTACCCTGTCCCTGCCACCTACCCTGTCCCTGCATCCTGGACTGCCCCCAATTGGTTGACCGACACCTCGACTTGGGCGACGGGCTGGGCAGAGCCAACACCGGCGACAAGATGATGACCCTGGTGGCCTCCGCCCCCGCCCGGGAGGGGGAAACCCTGGAATTGGAGGCCGACCATCGGCGCCACGCCGAGATCGAGAACGCCATTCGCGACCTCAAGTACGGCGTGGGACTGAACCATCTCCCCTCAGGCCGCTTCGCCGCCAACGGAGTCTGGCTGGCCGTCCAAGTGATGGCGCACAATCTGGCCCGCTGGACAACTCGCATCGGTCTGGACGAGCAACTGGTAACCACCAAGACCCTCCGACGACGCTTCTGCTCTATCGCCGGACGGCTCACCCGCTCGGCGCGCCGCCTCACTCTGCATCTTCCCCAGCGCTGGCCCTGGGAAACCCAGTTCAGTGGCGCCCTGGCACGGTTGCGCGCCCTGCCACTCCCAGCCTGACGGCGCCCCGTCTGCCGCTGACCCGCCATCCGGCCCACTGAACGTCCCCGCCAACTCGCGCCAAGTCAGTCCCCGAGGGGCGCCTCTGGCCTGCCCCCTACCGAATTCCGCCCGCCATGGCCACCGCGGGCCGCCATCATCGGGCCTGTGCGGCCACCTCGCGCCGTCCTCATCACCATCTATTGGAATCTGGCCTGGCCCGTTCGCCTTCCCCTACCCATCAGCCCTTGTGTCAACGCCAGCGCCAATCCCTTCGGTGGATTCGGGCTAAACGCGGTAGCTCGCAGAGGAACGCCGTGGGTGCCACAGGACGCGTGACCACAAGTCCTGACAATCCCCCAAGAAAGGCTTGACTTCGAACACGGATACTTGACGGGACACTACCCTCAACTGGTGCAAGTAGTTCAGGTCCGCCACCGGCGGACTGCGGCTCAGCACCAACCCGAAGCGGTCCACCACAAACCGGCGCCCCGCCTTCCAGTTCCAGTTGGAGAGGTTGATGCCCACTCGCGACGGCAATCCCTGTACCGCCATCTTTCAAACTCCGCCTGCTGCTCCCCGTTCAGGTGGGAACGCACCGGTCTGTACTGCGAACGCTTCGTCGGGAGGTCCCAATCTCGACTTTACGCAAAAGTTAAAGGAAGCGACGGATGCCATCACGTTGGGACGCCGCCACTTGTGGCTGGCGTCGGAGGGTTTTTTACTATCCGCCGTCAACCCTGATGTCCAGGAACTTCCGGCTACCCTGTACCATTTAGTTGCAACATCTCTCGTTTACGCCGCTTAAAATGCGTAAAGTCGAGCCAATACATGACCGTAGCCTGGGATCAGGCTAGACCCAGATGCGCGCTGCATCACAGGATTGACAAACCCCACGTTTTGTCCCTGTATTTCGGCTAGAATACGGTCAAACTACGGCCGTCCAGAGTATGGGAAGAGGAGCAGGGTTATGAGAAACGGATTCAAGGTGTACGACTCGGATACCCATGTAACCGCTTCTGCGGAGGAGCTCGAGCCCTACTTGGCTTCCTCCGTCAAGGGACTCGTGCCGGAGTTGGAGAAATACAAGACGCCCATCAGAAGGACCTCTGCGGGAGCCGTTCTGGAGCCTCCCTACTCCCACCGCTATAGCCTGGGTGGCTCCAGAGGCGGTTGGGGGTCGGACGCACCTCGAACCCTCGGCGAAGCCGCTCCTCAGCCCAACGCGGAACGACGGACTCAGAAGTTCATGGGTTCCGAGCTACCCACTGCCGACGGCGAATGGGTCGCTGAGAGCCGGTTGAGGGACATGGACGAAGAGGGCGTGGACGTCCAACTGATGGTGCCGGAGTGCCCCGAGGCCACGACGATCCCAGGGTGGATGCCGAGTTCATTCGGGCGAACCACCGGTTCCTGAACGACTTCTGCGGGACCTCACCCCACCGCCTCAAGGCCCTGTTGACTCTGGACGCCAGGTTCATCGAGGACTCGGTGCAGGAGATCAAAACTTGGGGCAAGACATCCTGGGCCGTGGGGATATGGCTAAATTTGCCCCTGGATTTCCCACTCGATCACCCGTCGCTGGAAACTGTGTGGGCCGTAGTAGAAGAAGAGGGCTTGTGTGTAGTCCATCACTCGTTTTCTGGCGGGTATCCTGGGTACCGGGACCTCTGGCAGAACCCTTTCCTGGGCCGCACCGCCTCCCACCCATGGGGAGCCATGAGAGCGGTGGCTTCTTTCATGGGGGCCGGAATCATGGACCGCTACCCTTCCATCCGGTTCTCCATCCTGGAATCCGGGTTCGGCTGGCTGCCCTTCTGGACCGCCCGGATGCAGGACCAGGTGGAATACATGGGCTACGTTCCAGAGTTGAAGCACACCATCACCGAGTACATGACCGGCGGCAGGTTCTTTGCCTCCATAGTGCTTCACGAAGGGCCGGAGATGGTCAGGATGGTGTCCGATATGATGGGCAGCCATCTGCTGATGTACAGTTCGGACTACCGTTGCAAAAATGGTTGACTTTAGTTACAAAGCACCGTCAATCCATTCCTGAAAACACGAACCACGCCGCACCGCCGCCCCAACAGTTCAAGACGGCTCCACCCAGGACTCTCACCCAGGAACACCGAACTGGTCCCCGCTCAAGCCACCGCGCGTGTCTTACCACTCGCGACCGCCTGAACCGGATTGGGTCGGCGTCTCCGCCTCCCCAGCCGGTGTTGCGCTGCAAGCGCCGGTCTCAGTTGCCCCCGCTATCGCTCCCCAGTACGTCCACACGTGCTTCACTCGCTTCCTCACGGGTACGGTGAAGGCGATATGCACGCCATTGCCGACGGGACATACCCACCGGCGCGGGATGCGCTCGGAACAACCAAGCAAGCGTCGGGCCAGCACCATGGCCGCAGCCTGGTGCACCGTCAGCCCGTATCGCTCCATGAACTTCACCCGGCCCACGACGGAACTGTACGCCGGGTTGACCGCTTTGATTTCAACTCCTTCCCGGTAACCCCGGGAGATGAAGTACGTCTTGACCTTGCCGTAGCTGAAGCTGGACAGCATCCGGCGGTACCGCCGGGACTCTCCTTCCAGCACCGCTTTCTTCTGCCGAAAGTCCAGATTTTCGATGACGATGGGCTTGCCGACTTCTCGGGCGTACTCCACCACACCCGCCACCGCGTCTCCTATCAACGCCTCCGCCTGATGGTGGCTCTTGCCGTAGGTCACCAGCGGCACCCGCCACGCTTTCACGTAGTTGCCACTCGCATCAGTCTCGACTACGGCCAGATGATCCGCATTCAGGTCCACCCCGACCGCTCCACGCCGCCGGTCTGTCGTGACCTCCACCTCCGGCAATTCCGTGGTGGCGAATACCCGCCAACCTTTCGAATCACGCTTGAAACGGTAGCTGATAGCCTGGCCGAGCGCGGTAACTCGCGCCTCCTTCTCACCATGCTCCCGTCGGTACACCGCGTACTCCGTGTTGCTCCCCAGCGCCGCCAGCACCACATCGTGTCCAGAAGCAAACCTCACGTTTGGAACCACCAGGTATTTGCCGTGCCGTCCCGCCAGGCCATCCGGCATCCGCAACCGCAGCGTCAGCGTACCGTCGTCATTGACGGACGCCACGCACAGCTGGCAACCAGCCGTCTCATCCCGGCTGCCCAGCACGAAGAACTCGTCGCTGCGGGCGTCTTGCCAGTCCCTGAGCCATTCCTCATGACAGGCATAGCCATTGGCCTTCAGGTCATACTGCTTCCGCCACAACTTCTGGGAGCCGAAGCACAACCGCACCCGGCCGGCCGCAATGTCGGCTTCCAGCCCCGACCGCCGGAACCTCAGGTTGGCCAACCGCCGCCGCTTCCCGTGCACCTGCCGCCATTGGCACTCCTGTTCAGCCTTATCAACCTGCTTTTCCGCGCGGCTCACCCGACGCCTCCGGCTATCCAGTTGCAAAAGCTGCGACCCCCGCACCGCCGAAACCTTGCCGTCCAGCGTAATCCGCGCCGCGTTGAACATCCGCGCCGGTATCCCGTGCTCCTCGATATACTCGCGCTTCTTCGACACCGCCGACCGGCCCGCCGCCACATCGGCGAACAGTTTATGCTGCACCTTGGCATACAACGCCGCATACGCCGACAGCGCGGCATCGCCAACAGCACGGTCAATGCCTTCATAAGCCGCGATGCGGGTCTGGTACGACCTCGTCTGCGCGAGATAGCCTTCAGACGAATCGGCCGACTGACGGCGGGGTTTCCTGTTATGAGCCATACTGCAATGGCAACAGAACACAGGTTCGCCTCACCACAAACCAACGTCACCCAAAAAACCAGAACGTACCAAACGCTACGATTGCATACCATTGCCTATCAAATCGCCAACTGCTTCCAACCCCCACCCGGAAACCCGGTTTCCGAGCTCGGTTGACTTGGTGTTGAATTGGGATGCCCTGGACAAAGACCTGCTGCCGAAGATCCTGTGGGACAACGCCGTGAGATGTTTCGGAGAGCCGTAGCTACGGCTCCCCGAAAACATGTTTCGTGGGAACCGGTGAAAATGATAAACGCCAAACCGGCAAGAATGCTTGACGCGGGACAAGTGGCGCACCGGCGACCGTTCGCAGACGACCCGTATCCACGAATTGCTGGCAGTTATAGGTTGCCGAGTGTGGTATTCGTCGTTGCGGCGGTTCACCGTGAAGGGTGACCGGGGACCGCGCGCCGAGCTACACCCGCAGGCGGCGCAGTGTCGGCCGCCAGACTCCCAGCACGAACGCGACCGTCAGGTAAATGGCGGCTCCGCCCGAGAAGGCCGCGGTCCAGCTTAGGTATTCTGCAACCAGCGTCATGGGATAGGAGCCGATGAACATGAACCCGGCGGAAATGTACCAGACGCTCATTACTCTGCCCTGAAACTCCGTTGGCACGGAGAGTTGTAACACGGTCGTCCCCATTGGCACTATGCTGCCCATCCCAACCAGATACAGTATCGCCCAGGACAGCCAGAACCAATGTGACCAGGCCAGGCAGAAAAGGGATATGCCGAAAAGGAAGATGCAGGCCAGCAGCAGGCGGTTCTTATGGGGCGTGTTGCCCAACGACGCCATGATGACCGTGCCGGACAGAGACCCAATGCCCGCCCCGGCCATCAGCAGCCCGGCTCCGCCGGCGCCGGTGTCCAGCGCCAGCTTGGCGAAGGCGGGCAGCAACTGGGCATAGGGCATTGCAAAGAAGCCGAAGGCGAACCCAATGCCGATGACCGTGAAAGTGACCGGGTTCGACCAGCAGTACCGCAGCCCGCCCCACAGTTCGGACAGGATGGTCGAGCGCCGGTCCCGGGCCGCCAGTGGCACCCGCCGTACCATGAGCAGCGTTACCGTGCCAACGCAAAAGCAGCCGGCGGCCAGGTATAGCGCCGGGGTTACTCCGGCCAGTTCGATGACGCCTCCGGCCAGGGCCGGACCCAGGATTCGTCCCGAGTTCATTACCGCCGAGTTCAGGACGACGGCGTTCATCAGGTCGTCGCGGTCCACCAGGTCGCGGACTATGGCCAGTCGGGTCGGGGTGTTGATGGCTTGGAGAGTGCCGAGGACGAAAGCCGCCGCGTAGATATGCCACAGGGCAACCAGCCCGGCGGTCTCCAGCACGGCCAGTCCAAGGACCAGGAGGCCCACCAGGGCCTGGGTCAACATCAGCAGTCCGCGCCGGTCGAACCGGTCGGCGAAGATGCCTCCGAACAGTACGAACCCCAGCGTGGGCATCCCGTAGAGGAAAATCATGAAACCCATGCGGGAGGCGGAATCGGTCAGTTCCAAGACCAACCAGCCCAGGATGAGGAACTGCATCCCCCTGGCCCATGCCTGAGCGTTAGCGCCGATCCAGAACCAGCGGAAATCGCGGTGCCGCAGCGCACGGAAGGTCTGGAGCTTGCGTCCGATGGCCAGAATCTGGGCCAACTATTTCACCAGTTTTGCCGTTTCAGGTTCCGGTGGCGCTGCCTTTGCCCACGTGATCGGTCGGTCTTGGAACATCGGCCAAGCGCCGCATTATACATCTGATTAACGACAATAAGTCCTGTCGGTAGCGACGACTATCAGGGCAATCGCATTTCAGAGTATTCTAAAAATGTGGCTAACATTGGTGCGGAGATGAAGTTGCCAGAGGTGCGCGGTGGCGATGGACAATGTACCGCTTTCGATTATGGAACGCTTCGAAATACTGGAAGACCCGCGAACTGGCCATGCCAGAAGGCACGAGTTGCTGGACATCATCGTCATCACCCTTTGCGCCGTCATCTGCGGCGCCGACAACTGGGTGGAGATTGAGGAGTTCGGCAAGGCCAAGGAGGAGTGGTTCCGCCGGTTCCTGAAACTGCCCCACGGGATACCGTCCCACGACACCTTCGGGAGGGTGTTCAGTCTGCTGGATCCGGAGCAGTTCTCAGCCTGTTTCATGGACTGGGTACGTTCGGTGAGTGAACTGGCCCATGGGGATGTGGTGGCGATAGATGGCAAGATCCTGCGGCGTTGTCATGACCGAGCCAACGGGCGAGGTCCGCTGCACATGGTAAGCGCCTGGGCCACGGAGCACCGGATGGTGCTGGGGCAGACCCGCACCGAGGCTCACTCCAATGAGATCACTGCGATACCGCAACTGCTGAAGGTGCTGGAACTGAAAGGGTGCCTGGCAACGATAGACGCCATGGGCTGCCAGAAGAACATCGCCCGTCAGGTGGTGCGAGGGGGCGCGGATTACCTGCTTTCGGTGAAGGCCAACCAGAGCGAGTTGTACGAGAACATCATGGACCTGTTCGCCTGCCAGGAGCGGGCGGGATGGGATGGCGTGGCTTACAGCCACCACGAGCAACTGGGCAAAGGCCACGGCCGGCTGGAACGCCGCCAGTGCTGGGTGATCACCGACCCTGAGGAACTGGCTTACGTGGACCCTCAGCGACAGTGGGCCAGCTTGAGCGCGGTGGCCAGGGTCAACTACCGGCGAGACATTGATACCGGTTCCCCAGAGGATACCCGCTACTACATTTGCAGCTCTCCGGCGGACGCGGCCACGCTGCTGGCCGCGGCGCGGAGCCACTGGAGCATCGAGAACAGCCTGCACTGGGTCTTGGACATGGCTTTCGACGAGGATCACAGTCGTGTGAGGACGGGCCATGCCGACCAGAACCTGGCGGTGATGCGACACCTGGCACTCAACCTGCTCAAGCAGGAACGCAGTGCTAAAGTCGGCATCAAAGCCAAACGCAAAAAGGCCGGATGGGACTTCGATTACCTGCTCAAAGTCCTATCCCAATGAAATGCGATTGCCCTGCGACGACTATCCTTGCCGGTCCAGATGGGCAATCATCCAGGCCTCTGCCGGGCGATAGCGCGGGTCATTCCGTACCGAGGTACAGTTCCAATCCGACCTGAGACGCCCGGCCGTAGAGGGCTTCCAGGGCCGGCAGGAACTCTTCGCGGCCCTGCCAGAACGGGAAGCGCCCAACTGCCTGGGCAGCAGAGCCACTTCCTCAGGTACGCGGGCCGGCCCGCTGAGGTCGTCGTCATTGTCGTCCCATTCGGGCTGGCCCCAGAATGCGTCGGGGTCCGCGGGCAAGGGTTCCGGCGCCAGCGTCGGGGCCATCCAGGCGCTGGCCTCGACGGACTTCCGCAGGTCAGGTCCCAACAGCTCATCCCGTTCGATACCCCGCATCCTGAAAATGAGGAACGGGTCCCGGTCGAATTCCTCCCCCAACAGCAGGTACACGGCTGCGATGTGCTTGCAGGGATTGGCGTAGTCAGGACAGGAGCAGTCCGTCTCCAGGTCGCTTTCCCGCGCCGGAAACAGGGACAATCCGACGTCGCCGAACACGTCCTCGATGTTCTCCGGCATCCGACCCGCCAGCAGGCTGGCAGCGAATACCGGCCGCTCGGCCAGGGCGGCCTGGAGCCTCTGCCAATCTGGGCCCGGCAGCGTGGCGACCCCGATGCTGACCCGGTAGGGCCGCTTTCGGGAACCCTGCACGCTGGCCGCCACTTCCCCCCAGCCGCACGTCGATGGACACCACCTGCCCCCGGCGGGCGTAGGACCGGCCCCGGGCGAGCCTGGACCCCAGGCTGAAGTTCTCCAGCGCCTGCACCCAGCGCTGGGCCCACCAGCTGGCGCCGAAGTCGCCCCGCTTTGATTGCGCCCGAATACCGCCCTTGGCTTCCCGCGGGCGGGTGTACTCGTAACCGTAATAGACCATGGCGTTCAGTCCTGCATTGATCGGGCTAAGGTGTTGATCCCCACTGGTTTCAGGCGACGGCCGCTTCCGAGCTCAGGCTCAGGACGTCTCGCAACTCGTCGTTGGACAGCTTGGTCAGCCAGCCTTCGCCGGTCCCTACCACCCGTTCGGCGTTGGCCTGCTTGGCTTCAATCATCAGGTCAATCCGCTCCTCCAGGGTGCCGGCGCACATGAACTTGTGCACCTGAACGTTGCTGGTCTGGCCGATGCGAAAGGCGCGGTCCGTTGCCTGATTCTCCACGGCGGGGTTCCACCAGCGGTCGTAGTGAAAGACGTGGTTGGCCGCCGTCAGGTTCAGCCCGGTGCCGCCGGCCCGCAGCGACAGGATGAACACCGGCGGCCCGTTCCTGGTGTCCTGGAACCGCTCCACCATCCGGTCCCGCTGACGCCTGGAGACCCCGCCGTGCAGGAACATCGCCTCTTTGCCGAAGGTGTCCTGGATGTGCCGCTGCAGGATGTCGCCCATCTCGGCAAACTGGCTGAATATCAGGGCGCGGTCGCCCACCGCGATGATTTCCTCCAGCATATCCTGCAGCCGGGCCAGTTTGCCCGAGCGTCCCCCGATGGCGGAGTTGTCCCCCAGCAGCTGCCTAGGGTGGTTGCAAACCTGCTTCAACTTGGTCAGAGTGCCCAATATCGCGCCCCGGCGCCCGATGCCTTCGGCCTCTGCCAAAGCCTGCTCGGCTTCCTGCAGCACCGCCTCGTACAGAGTGGCCTGCTCTCGGGTCAGGGGACAGAACTCCTTGGTCTCCACCTTCTCGGGCAGGTCGGTGATGATGGCCCGGTCGGTTTTGAGCCGCCGCAGGATGAACGGACCGGTGGCCCGCTGCAGCCGCTGGGCCGCGCCCTCGTCCCCTTCGGCCTGGATCGGTATGAAGTAGTTGCGTTTGAACTCGCCCTCCGTTCCCAGCAGGCCCGGGTTCAGGAACTGCATCACCGACCACAGGTCGCCCACGTGGTTCTCTACGGGTGTGCCGGTCAAGGCTACCCGGTAGTCGGCGCCCAGCGACCGGGCGGCTCGGGCCTGCCGGGTGGCCGGGTTCTTGATGTTCTGGGCCTTCGTCCAGTACGATGCCCCGCCACGGGACGTCCGCCATGAACCGGATGTCCCGCGTCAGCACCCCGTAGCTGGCCACGACGATGGCGTGTTGACGGGCCTCCGCAACGAATTCGGCGTCCCGCCGGCGGCTCGGACCGTGATGCACCATCAGCGGCAGGTCGGGCGTGAATCGGGCGGCCTCCTTGCGCCAGTTGTTGAGCACCGAGGTCGGGCAGACCAACAGCACCGATCCCGCGACGCCATCCCGGCGGTCCTGCTGGATGGCGGCCAGGGTCTGGACCGTTTTGCCCAGGCCCATGTCGTCGGCCAGGCAGGCGCCCAGTCCCCAGCGCCGCAGGTACGCCAGCCAGGAATAGCCCCGTTGCTGGTAGGGACGCAGCGTCCCGCAGAACCCTTCGGGAGTTTCCAGTTCCTGGAACTCGGCCCGTCCGGTGAGCTGCCCCAGCAGGTCGTCAATCCAGCCGCTGGCCGACACACCGTCCACGTCCAACCCGCCCGGCGTCTCCCCGGCGCCCACCGCCAACCGGATGACGTCCTGCAGTGTGATCTCGCCCTTCCGGTTCCAGAAATCCAGCGCCTCCCGGATCTCGTTGGCGTTGAGCTCCACCCACTGGCCGCGCAATCTCACCAGCGGCGTTTTCAGTTGGGCCAGCGCCTCCAGTTCCCGGGCGGTCATGACCTGGTCCCCCAACGCCACCTCAAGGTCCAATTCCAGCATGGTGGCCAATGACACGCCGCCCCCGCCCTGCATCTGCGGGGTCTTCACGTTGGCCCGGATGGTTGGCCTGGTCTTGGTTCCACGGCGGGTCCACCACGCCGGCAGGATGATGCCGTAGCCGGCCTCTTCCAATGCAATGGATTCCCTGGTCAGGAACTGGTACGCCATGGCGGCGTCCAACTTCCGGCCCGCAGGCCTTTTCCGCTGCAGGCTGTCGGCCACGCCGGCGCAGACCCCGCTGGCCTGACCCAGAGACGCCAGCAGGAACTCCCGGGGGTTGAAGCCGTCCCGTTCCAGCTCACGGACCCGCTGGCCGCCGGTTTTCCAGACCGCGCTGGCGGGCAGCAGCAGGCTGCGGTCTGCGTGGGATTGCAGCAGGTAGCGCAGATACCACCCATCGCGCTGCGTTGCCGCAACGTCGGGTTCGTCGCCGGGCGGCTCCGGCGGTTCTTCAAGCCGGAAGCAGACCCGAAACGGTGCGCTGGCCGTCAGGGCAATGGGTCGCTGCCATTCCGCCACCTGGGCCCGCAACTGCCCCAGTTGTTCCTGAGTACCGTGAACCGCTCCGTCGATTGATTTCAGGCCACTCAACCAGGCGTCGTGTACGCTGTCGAAAGCCAACTTTTCGCGGCGGCCTTTGGGTGCAATCACCTCCGGTGCCCCGTTGACACTTCTGATCAGGCTGTCCGCGACCGCGGCGACGAAGGTCCTGAGGACGGTGGCCGCCGGCTGGTCGGGCGGTTGACCCGCGCCGGAGCCCGACAGCGCCCGGGCCGACGCGGGCATACGCTGGCTCAACCGAGCCAGTCGCTCGGCGTCGGCTCCGATGAACAGCGGCACCCAGGTGGCGCGAGCGCCATCGGCGTCGTGGATTGTCCCCGGCAGAAACTGCTGCCGAGCCACCAGCGCCGCCCCGAAGCGCACCGCCTGGCTCCAATAGGCCAAGTCCCCTCCGACGCTGACGCCGGTGGTCAACATCCCCTGCCCCTTGCCAGCCTGAAATATGGGGATGGCGTCCGCCGGAGACACTCGGTATGCCGGTACGGACCAGGGCATCAGCCTGGGCCTGGCCCTGGATCTGGACGGGTCCGCCACCAGAGCGCTGGACGGAAGGGGGCTGCCGCCCCTGCTGGGCAGCCACGCGGTGGCGGAGACGGCTTCGCCAGAGTCCGCCCGGAAACCGGGCACGGCATCGGCCAGAACGTTGACCAACTCTCCGGGGCCAGCGCAGTAGGGATGCTCATTGCCCGCCGGATGACCGTTCCCTTCGGGGCACAGTTCGTCCGGAGACTGCTCCGCCCACAGCAACATCCACCCGTCTTGCCAACCCCCGTGCAGTATGATCATCCGTCAACTCCCGGATCCGTCCGGCGTTCCTGACACCGGCCCCATGGTAATTACAGTCGTTATTCCGATTCCCCTACGGGATGCCCAGCGCGCCGTCGTACGTCTTGGCACGTCATGGACGCCGAAACGTGGCCTCGTCCGCACTCTACTCGCCGCCGGCAGCGGTGGGCAGGGCACGTATCTTTGCTCCCACCACCCGTTCCGCGACCGCCAACTCGTACTGCGCTTGCAAGTTCAGCCAGAACTGTGGCTCCATGCCAAACCAATGGCCAAACCTAAGGGCGCTGTCTCCGGTCACCGCACGCTTGCCGGCCAGAATTTGGCTGATGCGATTGGCTGGCACGTCAATCTGCCTGGCGAAACTCGCCGGCGATACTCCTCTCTCCTCCAGTTCATCCCTCAATACATCCCCAGGATGTACGGCTCTTTTCAACATTGTCGCCAGCGCCCCCTCAGTGATAGTCCACAATCTCAACGTCCGACGGTCCGGCCTGGCCCTCAGGCCGACTGAAGCAGATGCGCCATTGACGATTGATCCTTATGGAGTACTATCCGGCCCGGTCGCCGCGCAGGACTTCCAGTCGATTGCCGCGCAATGCCCTCAGCGTGTCCACCGATCGGGCGGCGTTCAAAATCGAAAGCCGGCGCGCTGCCTGATCCTCAAAACCCTGAAACGCGTGGACATAGTCCCCGGCGGCGAACGCTGCGGTTCGTCGATCCCGGTAGCCCTGATTCATTACATGGCCAGTGTAGGGAAAATTGACGCCTGACGTCAAGCAATCATACGAAGGCTTAGGTTCGGTTTGGCCCACCGCATGGTCAGGCTGAAACCGGCATACCGGTCTTATTGATACCCGCTGTGGTTCGCCAAAGGGTCATTACGTGAAGCGCTCCTTTCGGTAGCGTCCTATTTGAGGCAACCACTTGTGCTGGGTAACGGTTTTATTGAGGCAATGCGACCGGGAGCGTCATCTGGTCGAATGCTTCATCAACAAGATCAAGCACTATCGCCGGATCTTCTCCCGGTTTGAGAAGCTGGACACCAGATACCTGGGCTTCCTGCATTTCACCGCCGCTCTCATCAGGCTACAGTGAAATGTC